CAACGAAACAAAGTAAATGGGCCAAATGATCTCCTCTCATTGTAACATTATATTGTAATTATATTGTAATCATTATATTGTAATGAAATTCTCAGACATACATAAGTTTTTTTTTGCAATAGTTATTAAACACAAATTTCTGTAACAATATTACACAGCACAATAACAATAAAAACCTTGATCTTCTTTATTTATTTACTGTACTGTACGTCCAAGTGAGACTTGAAATACTATACAGCAGGTATCATTTGGAAGAACATTGTTTACTGTACTTCAGTTACACATCAGCAACATAATATAAAGTATCAGTTTTTTAACTGTCTTTAAATTGTAGTTGACAAGGCATTTCTGCAAATTATTACAATATACTGACTTACTGTACATTACCAGCCCTGATCTAACCCAAACATTTGAAAAATAAGACCTAAGGCACAGCCAAATTCCAAGAAAAGCATGAGAGCCTCCTTTTGGATGTACTACATTTAGGCAATACCAAAAACACAAAACAACTATTAATGGAGATAAAATAACCTCTGACCATGTTTTATTCATTTTTCACTAATATTGTTGGAGACAGACTAATAGCAATAGATTACGGGAGTCAATATGTGATTCGTTATGGTGGGTGTCATACTATCATATTTATTACTCAATGGTGAGACAGGTTTCTTGTCCAGTGTATTTACAGAAAATGTTAGAAGACTAAATGCATGGCAAAATTACATATTAATGTTCTAAAATTCTGTAAAACCTTGTTTATTATCAACATTATGGAATAAGGCTCTGTAATGCTGAAACATTTAATTTGCAGTGACGTATTCACTGGGGAGCTAAATCATGTATTTACCAGAGAAGTCAGTTCTTTAATTATCTCCCACACTATGCAGGGCTTATTCAACCTGAAAGGAAGTCCGAACCCCATTCCTTAAATTTCTTCTTTACAAGTTGTTGCTGTGAAGCTAGTATCTGACACTCATTAATGAAAAGCCTGGAGGACTTTAGGTAAGTGTACAAGTAACTGTGAGAATTTCTCTTGTATATTTCAGAAAGGAATTATTTTACAATATTGGGTACGACACCACAAAAACTGATCGCTATGATAACCCTTTCTTTATTTCACAGCAGATACTATATGTAACATTTAGTGATTAACTACTGTAATTTGATTGAATAAATGTAAACAGAATTCTGATAACTATAAATTAACTATAAATATCTACAAAATCATGTTTATGCAAATTAAGTAACTTTAAATTGGTACAGGATCATTTACTTCATTCAGGAATGAAGACTTTATGTTTAGTTTTCTTTTGAAACTATGTACAATATATTAGCCAAAACACAGTTATAAATTAGATAAATCATTTTTTTCCATCTTGTCAGTATGGTTGCTGGGAACTGATTGATTCAAGGTTCCCATCCAGCCATTTCTTGAAAGGGGGTCAGCTTCAGCAACATGGCTGGGTAAGTGATTTCATACTCCCACAACCTAATTGAACATAAACAAAACTGAGCAATAGAAACTAAGTTTATACCCCTTTATCTTTTCAATGATAAGGCAATGACATAGGTATGCCAAATGTCATACCTTTAAGGTGATTTATTCTTTTAAGCTTTTGAGTATGAGCATGCAGG